TAGTTACAACCACTTGGAAGGCTAAGGCAGAAGGATCGCCAGAGCCCAGCAGGTCGACGCTGGGGTGGTCGTGTGTCACTGGGCTCCAGCTGAGGCGACAGAGTGAGATTCCAGCTCAAAAAAAAAAAAAAGACACTGGCTAAAAGTTGCCTAGGCCAGGTAGTTCATGCCTGTAATCCCAACACTTTAGGAGGCAGAAGTCAGGGGATTGCTTTGAACCCAAGAGCTTGACACCAGCCAGGGTAAGATAGTGAGACCTCGTCTCTACAAAAACAATTTTTAAAAAATTAGCTGGGCTTGGTGGTGGGCTCCTATAGTACCAGCTATTCATGAGGCTGAGGTGGGAGGGTCTCTTGAGCCCAGGAGTTGGAGGCTGCAGTGAGCTGTGATTGTGCCACTGCCCTCCAGCCTGGGTGACAGAGTGAGACCTCGACTCGAGGGGGCGGGGGGAAGATTGGTCTTGCTTTCTACTCTACAGGGACACAGAGCCTGGTCCTGTTCTGCCAGGTGACAGTCGTGTCTTCGGGGCTAGCCTGGCCTCCCCGTGTCCTCTGCCGCTCCTGTTCTTCCTTTCCCAGCAAGGGCAACGACGGGAGAGTGAGCTGTGCTGATGCTGCTTGAGGACGGCAGGGCAGGTCCTGGGCTTGGAACCTGCCCTGCCCGCTGGTCAGCACCAGCCAGAGACGAGACCTGCAGGTGGCAGGGGGCTTTCTCTCCACTGAATGCTAGGGGACCCGGGCCCACTGGAACAGGCAGCCCCAAGCGCATGCTCTCTCTTTGCTCTGTCTCTGCCTGTTTCTGTCTGTCTCTCTCTCTCCCCCTGACTCCGTCTTTCTCTGTCTCTTTCTCTCTCCTCTGTGTCTATCTCTGTCTCTGTCTATCTCTCTCTTTCTCTCTGTTTTTCTCTCCCCTCTCTCTATGTCTCACTCTCTGTCTGTCTCTAGCTCTCTTTCCCTGTATCTCTCTGGCCTCTCTCTCATCTCTCCTGTCTCTGTCTCTTTCTCTCTCACTCTCTCTCTCTCCTCTGTCTCTGACACTCTGTCTCTGTCACTGTGTCTCTCACTCTTGCTCTTGCTCTCTCTCCTCCGTCTGTCTCTGTCTCTGTCACTCTGTTTCTCCCCTTCTCTTTTTCTTCTCTCTGTCTCTCACCCAACCTACTCTCATATTTCTGTGGGCTCCCCAGACCCTCTTTAAGAGCCAAGAACTCACCCCCCCACCTGCTGGGGCACACCGGCTGCTAGCTATTGAAACTCACACTGAGTCCTCTCTGGAAGCCCCTTGGGAATGACCCTCCACCCAAGGGAGGGGCCTCCCAAGATTGCTTCATCCTGCCCAAGAGCAGCCCAAACCCACAACTGCAAAACAAAGGCTGGACCTGCTTGCCCGGCATGAACCCACCATAGACCAGCCCGGCCCAGGGCCCCCGGGGCCCAGCCTTGCCCGCTGCCCATCTGGCCTTCTCGCTCTGTCAAGAGGGGGCACACACTCTCAAATCTCCTGGGTGACCTCCCAAGGCCACGAGGTCAGTGTGCAGAAGGGCTGGGACCCCAGCCAGACCCACTTGACTCTTGGCCTGGGTTGCCATCAGCTCCATCAAGTCCCGGATTAGATCTGCAACTGACACACACTTACATGTTAGCCCCACGTGCAGGCGTCTTCCCCCAAAAGCCTCCTCCTCACCCCCTCGCCCAGCCCGCTGCGACCCTGGTCCCACCACATCACACACCCTCCTTGCCTCGGACAGTTCGCTTTTCTCCGCTTGGCCACCGCCTCTCCTCCCATAAGTCTCGGCTCCCTTTGCTGTGAAGACTTTCCCGACTGTGCCCACAGAGGGTTGTGCCTCTCTGGAGTGTGGAGACTGAGCATGGCCGGCCCTGAGCTCCCTGCGGGCAGGGACACGTCTCTTGACTCTGCTTCCAGGCCTGTGAAAGCTGTTTTGCAGCATGAATAAAGATGTGAACTCAGCTGAGGTGCTGGTCCAAGAGGCCAGCTGAATGGGCAGCATCAGACCAGGGGGACTCCCCAAAATCCCAGAATTATCTTTCGGAGGGTGGGACCCCTATAGTCCAGGCTTTCCCCACTAGGTGAGTGTCCTAGGAACCCATGGGCGTCCGTGTTCCAGTTGGCATAGTTGTGACAGGCAACATTCAGCCTCAGTGAAATTTTTTGGAGATTTCCTCAATGCATTTGCCCATTTCCTGATGGGTGATTTACGAGCACACCTGCCCACACCGCGCTGAGTGTTCAGCAGTTTTTGACCCCAAACCTGCATGACCCCCGTGGCCACCCTCCCTAGTTACTCAATCTCACCCCAAGCATGTTTCCTTGTTTCCCCGATGAAAAAAAGTCCTGAAAGGGAAACGTTTTGCTGATGGGAAAGGAGAAACAAAAATTGGCAGATGCACTCAAAGGCATCCAAATGGATGAGTGCAAAAACTGTCTTGAGCAGTGGGAAAAGTGTCTCCATAGGTGTACTGCATTAGACAGAGAGTACTTTGAAAGTGACTGAAGTTTCAACACATAAGAATAATTACACAGTTTTTCATAGATGAATTCCGGGTATTTTTGGGACCCCCCCCCATATAACACCATCAAAACCTCCATAAATTGTGACCTCTCTGAGCAGGAGGATGGGTTTTTCTTCATCTTAGTCACTTTTCCCATGCCTATCAGCACAGGTGCCTGCTTGCAGGGGATGCTCAGAAAAACCCACTAGACCACAGCCAAGGCACTTGCCAAAAGGGCTCGTGTGCAAGAAAATCATTTTACTTCTAAGCTCAGACATTTTTAAAGTTCTGCTATTTAAGACATATGGGATATTTCTCTACTTATCTCTTGTTTTTGAAAACTACCACCACAGTACCCAGATCGCTTCTTAATGAATATGCTTCTTGGATCTAACTTTTAAAGTTTCTCCTTCATTTGAAATTATTGTTATTTTTTTCCTACTTAACAGAGAGCACAAGATGACTTAGGGCTTGCTACACACCATTTCTAGGTCAGAAATCAAATTGAATGTGGATACAGCAATGTGATCAAGCTGGCCTGTGTAACACCGCATACTTGTTTTAAATGGCCCTTTGAAACGTCAATATGTATCAAGAGAGCAGGGAAACAGCCCACAGACTGGGAAGAAGTATTTGCCAACTCCATGTCTGACAAAGGCCTAACATCTTGGATCTATAAGGAACTCAAATGTGTTGAAAAGAAAAAAAACAAACAACCCCACTACAAAGTGGGCAAAAGATATGAACAGACACTTCTCAAAAGAAGACATATGAGTGGCCAACAGACACATGAAATGTTCAGTCTCACTAATCATCAAGGAGATGCAAATTAATACCACACTGAGATACCACCTAACTCCAGTCAGAATGGCCATTATCAATAACTCAAAAAATAACACATGCTGCAGAGGATGTGGTGAAAAGGGAACACTTCTATACTGTTGGTGGGAGTGTAAACTAGTGCAGCCTCTGTGGAAATCAGCGTGGCGATTCCTAAAAGCTCTAAACATCGACCTTCCATATGACCCTTCAATTCCCTACTGGAAATATACCCTGAAGAACTCAAATCACTCCATAAAAAAGATACCTGCACATGTATGTTTATCGCAGCATTGTCCACAATAGCAAGAACACAGAACCAACCATGCTGTCCATAAAGAGGACTGGATTAAAAAAATGTGGTACATATACACAATGGAATATTACGCAGCCATAAAAAAGAACAAAATCATGAATTTTGCAGCAACCTGGATGGAATTGGAGTTTATAATACTGAGTAATCTCTCACAGAAACAAAGATCTGAGTATCACATGTTCTCACACATAAATGGACCTTGAACAACTATCGTAATACTATAAGAAAAGGATTGACAGTGGCGGGAAACTATGGAGGGGGCAGGGAGGGGAAGGGAGGTGGGATTAACAGTAGTTGATATCTGTCTGGGGATGGGGGGGCACACCTCATCAACAAGGGTACCTGCACAATGCATATTTGTATACCTAACCCTTAACTGTACTCCACAATTTTAAAATAAAAAATATGGGCCGGGCTCGGTGATTCAGCCTATAATCCCAGCACTTTGGAAGGCCGAGGTGACTGGATTGCCTGAGCCCGCGGGTTCGAGATCCGCCTGGGCAACTTGACAAGACCTCATCTCTACAATCAATCAAAAGATCAGCTGGGCGTGGTAGCGTGCGCCTGCAGTTCCAGCTACTTGGAAGGCTGAGGCGGAAGGATCGCCAGAGCCCAGCAGGTTGAGGCTGTGGTGGCCGGAAGAGGCCACTGCACTCCAGTCTGGGTGACAGAGTGAGACTCCAACTAAAAAACACCCCATAAAATTAAATTAAATTAAATTAAAAATATGTTTAAAAAAAGAAAACTGTAAAAAAAAACTCAATATGTCATTAATCAACAGGGTGGTCTTCTTTCTCACTTTCTGAAACTGAGAATTCCTTAATGAGGAGTGGTCTGGTACCAGTCAAAGCTGCAGGGGTGGGGAAGCTGCATCCTACAAGCATACAAACAAAAGCCAGCCTTATTGGGCAAGTAGCTGTATCCGCTGTGCAGGAAATAACCCAATTTTGTTATTGTTCTCAACAAAAATGTCCAAACGAGCAAAAAAAAACCAAAACCCTGCTGATAACTGGCTGAGACTAGCCATGAAAATCAGAAGCTGAGGTCGAGGCAAGAGGATTGCCTGAGCCCACAGGCTCGAGACCACCCTGGGCAACTTGGCGAGACCTCATCTCTGCAATAAATAAAAAAATTAGCCAGGTGTGGTGGCATGTGCCTGTGGTTCCAGCTGTTTGGAAGGCTGAGGCGGAAGGATCGCCAGAGCCCAGCAGGCTGACGCTGGGATGGCTATGAGTGGCACTCCAGCCTGGGAGACAGAGAGAGTGAGACTCCAAACTCAAAAAGAAAAAATGAAAGACTCACTCATCCACATCCCTCTCCAGACCCCGTCCTCAGTCCTGGATGCGCGGCAGCGGTACCTTTTTAAACATCCGGGTGGAGTCCTCGCTGATCTGCATAAAGCGCATGATCACGTTGTTCAGGTAGATGTCACTCAGGGTGGCGTGGTCCTTGCTCTCCCTCCTCACCTGGTTGAGGAGCAGGTACCAACAGTTCACCGGGGACAGCAGGTTCTGGTCTCTCCTGTGAAGCCAAGAGAGACAGGGTTACCGTCCATCGCCAAGCGGCCCCCCTTGGGTGGGCGATGTCACCAGGGCAGAAAGGGGGCCCAGCAGATGGACGCTGCTGCCGTTTTGGGCACATGTCAAGCCAGGGCTCTTGACAGGCAGCAGCGTGGCCTTCCAGACCGTGGACGGCCCAGAGCCAGCAGTTTCCCAGGCTTGGAGGCAGAACACAAGTGAAGTCCTGCACCCCGATGAGGGCCCGGGACCCTAACGTGCACGCAGGCCTTGGCTTTCCACACCCATGGAAGAAGGCGATTGATGTTTACATAAAAATCTATTGACTGCTGTCTCAGGCAGCCTGCGGTTTCCACTGCACACAAAGTCTGCTTTCAATGTTCACTCCACCACGGCTGGAAAAGCAATTTGGCCAGTGACGCTGTCCATGGAACATAAACTTGACAGTTATTTATTAATCCCCTGGCACAGAACTTCCAGCCTCCCGTAAAGTCTTCCTGGGAATCGGAACTTTAATGCGTTGTCTCAGGCTTATGAATGGAACCAAGAAGTTTGTGGGTTTACGACCTGCCATGTGCCCTGCTGAGACCCACTAAATGATTTCGGATTTGCAACTGCTCCCTGCTTTATTCTAGGTCATAAAGCTAAAAGTGAGTATGAACCACAGAAGAGGACTTTTTAGAAATCTTACAGAAAAGCTGTAAACAAAACAGGGAGCAACTGGGACGTTACTGCTTTAAAGAAATTAAACCACGTTTATTTTTTAAAAAAATTTTGGTTCTCTTTCATTAAAAATGAACTTCATATAACATCCATAAGGGTGGCTGATCCGAATCCAGGTGAAGTGAGGTCCAATGGGAGGCCCAAAACCTCATCTGTACCTAAACCACTTTTGTACTCAATCCTGTACTCCATAACTTTAAAATAAAAAAAATAAGAAGAAACTAACTGTAAAATGGCAAACTTGCACAGAATATTCATCCTAACACAGGGACACAAGCAGATTTTTTTTTTTTTTTAATTTTTTTTTTTTTGAGTTGGAGTCTCACTCTGTCGCCCAGACTGGAGTG